TCAACTTTATTTTTTGATACCATGAATGCTGTATCATCAAAATAATCATCTTTTGCAGGTTTCTAGATCACTGATAATGGTTATACAAGTACCTGAATATGCTTTAAAAGCAGCAGTGAAAATGTAACTTCTCAAGGATTGCTTGAAACAAAACGTGGTCGACTCCAGCGTTGAGTCTGGATTCATTAATGTATATAAATCACACAAAGCAGTTTGTTTAGTATACTAGTAAAGTAATATTAGATAGCTTAGGATATAGATTTATTATAACATTTTTTCTTAAATGCTTCTGTTTACAACAACAAGGGGATAACAAATATATTTGCATCTTTATTTAAAGAGTTACCAATAGCATTTCATTGCCGAACACTGCTTCGTTTGCTGATAAAAGAGATACTGTAATAATCAAGTGGGGATAAGTTTCTGATCTGTAGTCCATTATTGAAGCATTGTGGTAAGTTGTGTAGTTACACTACGTTTTAAAAGACCTATTTATCTAAAGGTTTTGTTTATCCAAAGTAAAAGTACTGTCAAATACTTTGAGTATAATCTTTGAACAATAATTACCTATTTAATTTAAGAAATGCCATCTCTACTCAGTGCCATTAACAGCTGACTGTGAGATGAACCTCTGTACTGCCTTGGAATAGGCAAGTGACTAGCTAGCTGGCACTTGTAGCCAAGACGTACAGCAAAGTTCTGCTACACTAAATTTAAGTTCTCATTCTTTTCTGCATGTGAACCTAGCACATTAAGCAGATACTGGGGATATTTTACTGATAGGAGTCTTCTGGAGATATTCTTACCCTGTTTTTCCTAGAAATAGAGCAGCAGTTGCCTGCAAAGGCCTCTTGTGTGGTTCTGGCTTTGTGCCTTTACTGGGAGTGGTTTGGGGATAAGTAGTAAAGAACAGAAAAATGATCTTCCTGTTCTTTGTATGGACTTTTTTTTTGTGCATGTGGTGTTTATGTAGACTTTAGAATGTATTACACAAGTATTTCAACTAACTAGCTATTGATGTGGATTAAGTGTTAGTTCAACACCAGAACTTCATGTGGTGCTGTGGAAGGCGGCAGATTTTTCACATTAGGTACAAGTACTTAATTGAAACTGTTTGCGTAATAGGATGTTAGTAAACTTAAAGATTGGGTAGCTTATATCTCATTTGAGTGCATGACAAAGCTTGCTAGGGCAAGTATTCACTAATAGAGTGTCCTAATAAACTGTAATGTGTTTTGTTATTCTAAGGAATTTTAAGAGATAATGGAACTACTGCTTCTCCAGTAATACCTGTGCTGTTTCTTGCTTAGATAAAGAGTTAGCTTGTTTTCTAGATGATTGTATCCTGTTCAAATAAAGGCACGTTAACTTCCAAGACTGCTTCTTCTCTCACTTACTACGTTGTGCATAGGCAGAATATTCTTTTAGGTATGTCTCCCTATTCATCCAAATACTTTTAATTGTCAGCACTCAAAATAAGATGATAAACGAAGTACTTCTTATGTTCAGTTTGCTGGCTGCTTCTATTCTGTAATAGATTCCCAAGGCAATTCTGTATTCATTCTGTTCAGAATCTTAAAATTAGGGACAGTGCTTCTCCACTGTTTTGGGAGAACGAATGTATTAATGATTACAAGATATTCAAATTAATGGTTTTAGAAGCCGCAGGACTGTATGTGATACATAGATAACATAACTGATGACATCTGAGTCTAAGAAGTGAATGCACTCAGGTACTTCATACATGAGAGAAATGATGTAGTTGCAGACTAGATGAGGTTCTAGGACATATTTAAGTGTCCCAGTTTATTTAAGGAATATTTCCCATTACAGATTTTCTGTAGTAAGATCTGTCCTCATTTTCAAGTTTTAATTGCAGTTCTTTCTATTACAGTATGAAAACCCACTAAAATAACTTGATCTGAGAGTCCCCTTAGTGGGTTACATAACTCCTGGCTTTAATCTGGACAAAACTCCGCTTCACACACAAAAACCGAATTAGAGTATTCCTGGTTTTTGCGAAGAGAAGTGAGCAGCTTTCTATTTTTATCTGTGATTAATCTGGCGTTTGGCTTTCCAGTTCAAGTACTCCTCAGTGCACAGGAAAATCTGCCATCAGCCAAGTCACTGCAGATTCTCAGAACATGCATTAGTGGGGACCTTCAAATGTCAGCTCCTGCTGAGAGGGACCCTCCAGGAAGGATAGCAGGCATTACTCAGGTAATTCTTTAGGCTTTCACTTAATGATAAATATTAAGCTTAACATGCTGCTGTTACTATGAATGTTTTGCTCCAAGTTCAAAGAAGCAAGAAAAAATAGCTTCTTATTTATAACTACTGTTTTTTATCAATAATAATACCACATAACGTGTGCCAGATGATGCTACATCAAATATTTAGCACAATGTTGGCCATGTAACCCAGACAGTTTAATCCTTTTACAGGATTACAGCATCTGTTTTGCCCAGCTAGGACCCAGCTGTAAACAAATTCATAGTTATGTAATAAAACCAGTTTGCTGTGCCCTGCATATTCCAGTGGCAACTATATTTAACGCTGTTAACCAGACATGACGGCTCTAAAATGCATCTACTGCAATGCACATCGGCTGCTAACAGAAGTACCAATTTGGAGGTGATAACCTTACCTCAGGTGCAGTGCAGTGGTGGACCAGTCGTCACCAGAAACTGTGGATCTGCAGTTTCAGATGTGCAACATCACAACTTCACTGTAACACAAAGGGATCAAACGGGGGACTTCGTTCCATGCTTTGGGCTGAAATAGATTTTGATTTACTCCAGAATTTTGGGTTGACACTGCATATATACAGAGCATTTCAGTCCTGCTGCAGCCTTTAACACATCCATACTTTGAATGTGGAGGACATGCAGGATACAAAAGGATCCTCAATATAGAAAATGACCATATTTACTGCAGAGCATTCAGATCAATACAGCATGTCACTGGAAGTGTGCTGGAAGAAACCACTGTGTAAGCAGCCTTTTTTTGGAGGGCTTGGGCAGACTGCGCAGACATTCACATCCTAAATGGGGTGCAGGGTAAGGTAACACAGAACACCACAAGTTTGAAATGAAGAAAGGGATTGAAATGCTCAAGTGCTCTGTTTTGGTCATCTGTAAGGTTCACGATTTACACAAACAGATGCACTGTTCTTGTATATAATGAGCACTTGATATCAAAGCATTCTGAGAACTGGCAACGCTCTTTCTGAAATTGCTGCTTTGGGTAATGTTCATGGTAAGAAAATTCAAAGTTGCTAAAATTATTTGAGCTGAACAGGGTCCATTTTATTTCTGAGGAATCGTATTTATCACGTAGCAGCTGATTAACACCCTGCAGACCCATTTAGCCCTTCTTTCCACAGCTGTGCTCTCTGTAAAGATCCTTAAATGTAAAGAATTCATTAATGGCAGATGCTGCTGTTCTGTGTGGCAACACATCCACTGAGTGTTTCCATTGGGATGATTTAGGGGAAAACAATTCGCTGCATTGCACGGTTGGTGGATTTAAAGCCGTCTTTCGTAACAGCGTTTTGTTTCGCTGAGAGAGAAAAAAAGGTGTGTTTTTGTACAGAGCATCCATTTTATGTTATGTATCTATAACGTACGTAGAAACGGAACTATCCTGGGTACTTTTTAGCTTGCATCAGCTCATCTATTTTTGATTAGAAGTTCCAAAACATTCTGGTTTAGAAACTTAAAAACCCAGCCGCGGGGTGTTTCCTGTGCAGCGGAAGTCTGAAGTTCCTTGGTGCCGGGCTTTTCTCCTCGCTGTCACCCGCAGTGGCACCCTCCCGGTCCACGGTTCAAAGGGGGCAGCGGCTGCCCCCTGTCCCCGGGTGGATTTAGGGCTGCCGGCCCCGCTGGACACCGCTGCCGCCGCGGTTGGCTGAGGCACCTGCGGGAGGAGCTGCGTGAGTAACGGTGGCACTGGCGGGGGCGCGGCGCCCCGGGCACCGCTGCGGCTCCCCCCGCCCGTACCTGCCCCGCGGGGGCCGCTTCCCGCCCGAAGCGGGGCCGTCCCCACAGCACCCCAAGGGGCCTTGCCGAGGCCGCCGCCCCCCCCTCACGGCTCCGCGGCGGGGCGTGGCCAACCCTGCACCGGGGGCGCGGCTGCCCCCACCGCTGCGCCCGGTGCTCGGCGCGGGGCCGGGAAGCAGCGGGGGCCGTGCCCCAGCCATGGCCGAGTGCGGGGCCCGGCTGCGCTGCGGCCGCCCCCTGCTCCTCCTCACCTGCTTCTTCGCGCCCTTTCTCGGCCAGCCCGGAGCCGGCCCCGCCGCTCGCGCCCCGCACACGGGTAAGGCGCTTCAGGGCGGGTGAAGGGCAGCGGGGCGCCAGGGAGGAGGGAGGAGAGGGCGGCTGCTTCGGCGGGGAGCCGGGACGGAGTCGGAGGGCACCTCTGAGCCCCGGGTCCGCGTAAGCCTGCCAGAGACCAGGGGTCTGCCGAGCCGCCGCCGCCTCCCCGCCTGTGCCGGTCCTGGGTCCGCAGCGCGGTGGGCAGCGGCGGGAGGAGGGCGCTTGCCCTGAGGGGAGCGTGGCGGGCTCTGCGTGAGGGGAGAGCGCTGCCGGGGCTGAGGCGGCCGCGCACCGCGAGGGCAACTTTTGGGCGGAGGAGGAGGAGGCGAGGCCGCTGCCGGGGCTGGTGGCCGGTGGAGCGGGGTTGCGGCGGTGCCCGAGGGGTGCTGAGGGACGGGTGAGCGTTTACAAACACTGACGTGACCCTGCGGAGGCCGCGGTGCCACGGGGCGGCTTTTGGGGTGCGCCACGTTTCATCGCCCGGGTGTTAACGCTTCCTAAACGAGTATATAGCGATCTGCGGGTGCCGAGGCTGTCGGCGTTTGCGCTGCCCGCCCGCTCGGGAGAGCGGCAGGTGCAGGTTGGTGGTGCGTGCACTTGTGTTAGCCCCTGCTGGGGGTGAATTGACGCGATGTATGGGAACGATTGCAACGTCGCCTGTGGATCGGGCTGCACAATGTTCCTCTGAATGACTTACAACAGAATTGGTTTTAGTTTGCTTATGCATCGTTTCTTTAACTTCAGAAGAGCCGGTCCCCTCTTCCGTCAGGATGCTGCTTTCAGAGTTGAAGGATGTAAAGTAGCACATGAGGCTGAAGTGCTTATAAAATTACACCGAGATTAAAGGAGCAAAATCGATGCTCTTTCAAAGAACTATTTAGAAATAGTTACTTTAAAGCATTGCTTTTGTGTAATTTACGGGTACTTTGTGAGGAGTTCTGCAGAATGTCTCGGAGTCATAACTGCAGTGCTCACAAGCAGAAAGGAAATGAATGAAGAATAAAACCGACCTTTTTAATATTAGCTCAAAACCGGGAAAAAAAAAAAAAAGATTGTAAGTATGGTTTATAGAGAGCAAATTGTATCGACACCTTGGGTTTAATTCCACATACGGAACCGCAGCCTGGTTTTGCTAAATGTGGTTTAAGAGATTATTCTTTGTCTCGGTATTTGGAGAATGGTGTTTCTCCTCATGAGAGAAGGTAGTCCTGTAGGAGATGATTGCATTGTATGATGTATGTATGACTGTTTAGAGTTAACTGCAGTCAGGTTAAGCCAAATTTTGCCTTTTGGCACTAGCCAACAGTTTTGATTTCATTGAGAACTGGTCACAGGATCAGATTTTCTTTTCACATTTTGCTTGGTCTAAAATCAAATGAAATCTGCTGTTAAGAAGATGCAAAATGTTACAACTTTCTATTATTAAAATACAGGGCCAATGGAAATAATCTAGATCAGAGTATCATGTACATACGGTTACCATTATTTTAGAGGTGTTGGTTTGCATGTGGTACAGTAATCATTTTAATGAGTGAACGTGGTTTGTGGACATGACTTGGGTTTTGATACTTTAAGAGTACTTGTAAATGAATTTGTTTTTTCTTTCAGTTAGTAGTCCAGAGGTGAACTAATCCTTTATCCTGGGTAACTCTGATTTGACCAGACAGAATTCATGCTCATTTAAAATACAAACAAGTTGTAAGTTTTGTTCTTTGCTCTTAATCTAATAGGCAAGACTTAAATGCACAAATTGAATTGGTTGAAGCACCACCTATACTGTGTGCACCTATACGGTACCGCTGTGCTGTGCTGCAGACCTGTGGTAGTGTTTTCTTGAGAGTTCATACACCCAAGCTTTCTCCACTCAGTTTAATAGATTGGATCCTTCTCCCTGGCAAACAGGAGCCTGCAAACCTTCCCTCTTGTAGGGGTTTCTTGTGATTTTCCTTTTAAAATATTTTGGGCTTTCTTTAGAGATTCTTAGTAAGAGAAATGTGAGCATTGATTTGAGGAGAAATGCCTGTGCTGATTTTGTAGGAGCTGCAGAAGGAAGTACTCAGTTTCCCACTTTTCAGAATGGTGAAACCTGATTTTTGTATGATAGTGTATATTCTGACATCTACTCTGCATCTGATTCCTGAACAGGGTATCTTATTTCTGTTAGCCATAGGCTTGTATGTTCCAGTGTATCCAAGACTGGAATTGAGCTGTACAAGCAAAATGCTTCTGTGGCAGAAGTTACTGCCAAGTGAAGAACATCTGCAGCACCCAGGACTGCACTGGCAACTTGGGAGAAGCCCAAAGCCTGAAGCTCATTGGCTTACATAAATTTTGGATTTGTGTTTACTTTGATGATGCATCCCGTCTAAATCAGTATGAATCGATGGTTCTAATTTTAAGAATCTACGTGCTTGTTCTTCCTTTTACTCCTTGTGCTTTCCACACTTGTAAGCATGCTTTTGCTGCTTGCATTCAGCATACGTCAATGTAGTCTTCATAGTCCATCTTCAGTCCCTATCGACTGGTCAACAGTCAGTGAAAACCATGCAATTCTTAAAAGCGGTCTAAAGAGAGATGGCAAAATCCTGGATCTGTTACAATAAAAGTCCCCCTGGCTTCAGAGCGAGCAGGATTTTTACCCTGAGACATCCTGAAGTGAGGCAGCCTTTTCATGAGCTCTGGCTGTTGGGCAGTGGGAAGGGATTACAGTTCTGTCTGCTCAAAGCTGAGTGGAACATGTTAGTGTTGATGAACTGAGGAGGAAATGCTGTGCCATGCCACGGGCCTGTAATGTTAGTGCTGTAGGTGGCTGTTAATCAGGATACTGCTGGTGGCAATAGCCTCAGTGTAGAGTTCAGGAAGCTGTTCGGCATGCAGTGTGGTTTACAGTAGATTCCATAGCACGGGTATTTGAAAAGGAATGGTTTGTGCTCCAGTTAGATCTTAATCTAAACGGTGTAATTGATAGTATCTATTTCTTGATTAGCTACAAACTACACGGCAGTATATTATGCCATTATTAATCAAACTTGTAAATGCATTAATTATTATGGGCCATAATTATCCCTTGATATTCAGCTATTAGGGAATAGTTAATAGTTAATTCTTTGACATTATCAAGCCAGAAATTTTAATCTTTTAAATTTGAGTGTAAGAAACATCTTTCCTGCTTTCAATGTGCAGTTCTTGTACCTCTGTTTGTATTGGTAAGTGCTAAGCAGTATTGCAAGAACCTATCCTTGATAGGTTCATGTCCACAGTACACCATTTGATTTTGCTACCGATCAGCAGGAGACTGATGTGCTGGGTAAGAGAGAAGGCAGAAATCCTCCCAGTAACTTGAAAGCCATGGAACAATCCTTAAAATCCCTGAAGCAGCTAGCAGCTGCCAGGCATCAGGGGTTGAAATACAAGGCTGTCACTTTTGTACTCTCAACTTTAGAAATCACAAGACAAGCTCTGAACTAAATCTGAACTAAATCTGACTACTTAATATTTGTCTTTAGAAATCACAAGACAAGCTCTGACAAATCTGAACTAAACCCAGATTTGCAGAAAATCCACCCAAGAAATGGTCAAGAATAGCCACCTTTTCCTGCTTGTAGGTGTAGTGATGGGCTTTGGCCTTACGTTTGAACAGGGGAGAAAAGGTACTTCTAGGAAGTACAGAATTTAATAGCTGGCTTTTCTGACTCTTGTTCAGTAAATTGAACAGAGTTTGTAATCCTGCTTAGACTCACAGACATTCTAGTAAAAGTGATTTCGATGTCTCTAAATGATTACTGTTAACCAAATGTTTGACTCTTAGCGGTTGAATTCTTGGCAATTGCTAAAGCATAGAAGGAGAAGTAGAAAGCATGACTCACCATCCTTTTAAAGGAAGCGGGGAATCAGTACAGAAATAGAACTTCCATTCTATACTTAATTTGATATGTTACATATCTTTTCTGCTTAATGAAGTAGTTGTGGGAGATTCTTTAAAATGTAAAGGGAGGCTCAGACAGAGAGGTCTGTGTTGTTAATACTCAGCATGATCTTGTTCTTTTTCCTGTCTGCTGCAATATAAAGGTGACTTGTAGTTAGAATTGTCACCAGCTACCAAATACTGTGATGTGAATAGATTTTTGGGGGAACAGCTGTAAACTGAAAGGAGGAAAAGCTCTGATGTCCGCTGTAGGACAAGTTTGTAAGAAAGGTGGAAAACTCTTCTTTCCTCTCAAAATGACCACTGAACAGTTTGAGAGTCAGGTTTAAACAGTTACCATTGTGCTTCTAGGCTTCAAAGTGCTTCTATTGTTATAAATCATGTAAAATGTGTTAGTTTAAAAACAAATAAATCACAGCATCATCTGAACAAATACACTAGTGTGTACTGCAGGCAGGTGTACTGTATATATCCATTCACCTTCCTAGTTTGTAGGCAAACTATTAGTTGTCTTGTAGTTTGTCATAGTTAGATTTGTGGATAACAGTTTATATGTTACGATAGCACACTGTTAAAAATTGAATGTTAACTACAAAGTATGGATATTTTTCTAAGCTTACTGTCCTTATAGTGTTCTCTTTCATTACACTAGGATATGATTATCAATCTGCATTAGAAAAATACGTTCCTTCTGAGTCCACATCTTAACATTAGGACATTCAGCTTCTAAAAGTGACCATTTCCCTGCTCCTGTGATCGCTCTTGAAAATGCAGGCAGAAGTGATCCAAAGAAAAACCTGAAATCAGTAACACTCAATTATAGCAATTAGAAAATGCTTTGAGCAAACTATTTAAAGTGAGAGGACCAGTGATGCACGTGCGATGCCGATGTGGCTCTTAGACACTTTATATAAGGAAGCACAGAGAGATATAGCGTTCAAAGGAAGTTTATTTTGAGAAACATGGACTGTGATGTACTCTCATTAAAAAACAAACAAACAAAATGACATGAAAAGATATGAGGCATAGCTGTAACAGTAAAAGTTCCACTGACAATTCTATGAAAAGAATACTGCTGCTAAATTATATGAAGATCCTAATAAATTTCATCCTGTAATTGGTACAGTAAGAAATAATGTAAAAAGATGGATTTTACAAAAGAATAGCACTTCTGTAATTTAACTGAAGCATTCAGAAAAGCCTGCCATTAGCAGCAATGGTGGAACCTTTACTTGAGGATGTTAACCAAAGGAATAGACATGTGCATGTTCTGTCATGCATCTGAAACCCATGTAATGCTTCCTTCTCTTTTCTAAGTAGCTCTTTCAAAGTACTTTGATTAAATGTTTTGGGAGGAAATGTTAGATTTGGTTTTTTAAATACTATTGTGCTGAGGTCAGCTGTGTAATTAGAATTTCTACTTAATATTTGTCAGAAGTGTGTTCCAACTAGTTCAAAGTTGAAAGGATTTGAATCATTGGTGTGCTTTGTGCATAGATGTTTGTCTCCTTTTTCAGAATTCTGCCATCCAATGTTTTCTTATGTGATTGAGGGGGTTTTGCTGCTGATGGAATCATGCTGAGAGGGAGTGAACGGAGAAGAGTTTCAGGTGTCAGTTATAAAGTAAACATTGTTAGAATTTATCACTGAACGATATAGACAGCTACCTTTGATTTAGACTAGAGAAGTTACCTGACCTCAACAGAAATAAAGCCACACAAATACAGGCATGCATAGAATTGCTACAGATCTAATTTTTATTCAGTACAGTGAGGTAGTAGCAGGGAGAAGTGCTTCCATAATCCCTTACCTTCTGATTTAGTATGAGATTTGTACTGCAGGTTAGTTCGTTGCTAATCTTGCTAGTCACAGGTTCTAACCACTTTCTAATTTCCTCCAACCAGCATAGCTAGTCTGCAGCCTTTAGGCACTAGCTGCATTTTACCTCTTTTCCTCTCTTCTGTTTGTTTTTGTGCTTACCACCAGTTCTTCTTTTTTTTTGTTGGGATTGATACCCCAGTATTAAAATCTTAAAAGCACACAGACAAGTGAAATCAAAGATATATGGTCTGTGTAACAAGTGAGCTGAGTGGTCCTACTGAATAAAATATGGAAATGTAGGGGTGGTTATTGATTTTACTTTTGTCAACTGTTAATACCTGGTTACTGCAGCCTCCTCATGGGGCATTCCTTTGTACAAGCTGCCTTTTATAGACAACTATGCCCCAGCTTATTAAATAACAAAATAAATTAGAAATATGAAGAAGTGTGGCTATTTCTGTGATAGAAAAAAACCCACCAAAACAGTTTAACTGTATTGTTACTCAGTGAGTATACTGTAGGTGCAAGCATGGAATATTTGAAACCCCTCCCATAAGTATCTGAAAGTGGTAAAGGAACATATTCCCATTCAACGTAACTAGGAAGATGCTGTGTTTTAAGAGAAGCTTAATCTGGAAATAGCATCTACCCTGAAGGTGCTGTGTTTCTGTACAGAAGGTCATCTTACAGGAACACAGGACTGGGGAAAGTGCAACTTTGCCTCTGCATTGCTTCAAGGTCAATTAGTGGCGAGAGAATACCCAGCTGCAGAGTCATGCTCAGATTGCACAAAAAACTCAGCTGAGATTGTAACCGTAAAAGGGAAATGTAATTAATGCTAATACGAAAATCAAGTATTTTTGAAACATTAGGCTGAAATATTCACAAAACATCCATAATTCAGGAAATAGGGATATAGAAATAGAGAAATTAAGTTGCGTCTTCAGGAAACGTTGTTTTGGATGTCTGTAAGAAGTAGGACTTGGCAAATCTATGTATAGTTACAGGTAAGAAAGATTCCTTGGCTAGTAAGGATACACTGAACCTAAGGTATCAATAAAAATAAACGTATTTTAACCTAATAACTGTGAAGGTAATGTGTGTGTGTGTAACGTCTTGTTACTGGTTCCATTTTGGCAGTAATTCTTCTGTCCTGTGTGTTTTCATGTATCCATCTAAGGTGTGCCCAATTGTACAATGCAAGTTGCTCATTAGTTTTCTGCTGTTACACAACCCACCTGTCAAGAACCTCAAAAAGGAAAGATGTTAAGTTGTTGAGCATGTACAAATAATGCATCTTGAATAACACTAGGATTGTGAATTAATGAAATACACTGTAAACAGGTGTAGATTTGTGTTTTGAAACAGAAGGGTGAACTGTCTTAAAATCCAAATGTAGATCTGGCCTGCAACAGCAACCATTCAGTAGCAGTATGGTAAGATTTGGAGGGAGAAGGTGTCTTGTTGCTCCCACTTTGCTGATTCTATTCCCGAAGCTACATTTTGCTTTTGTTCCTACTATGAAATTTCAGAGAAAATCCAGTTAGTATTCACAATAAGTAACACTAACTTCCCCAGACCTGCAGTGCAGAAGGCAGGGAATTCTCCTGTGATTGGGCTTTGCAGCACTTTGGATGTTCTGCCCAAAGGATCTGCTGATCTTTGCAGCGCAGCAGAAAGTGGCTGCTGTCACTAAAGCACTTTGAAGAATGGGAGGGAACTTAAGACTTCAGCTGCCTGTCTCAGTTGTCTGGGCTGCAGTGGTCGGAGTCACACAGGAGTAGGTCCATCTAAATTAATGGTTTAAATGGTGTTAGCCAAGCCTCTGCACCAAATGCAAGGCAGCAACCCCCTGATCCAATTCAGAGGTGGATTCTGGAGGCTGTGTTGGAACATGCACTGGTACCCTGTGCAGTGATGATGCTCCCAGGTACAACTGACAGTTTAGTAATCCCAGGCAACTCTGAAATTTTAGTCCTCTGCAGTATCTAATAATCTCTGATTTGCTGAATGTTAATGGTACAACTCCAAATAGAAATTGTTCAGACTGCCTTTGATTGATGCTCTTGTTTCCTTTACCTTATTTTATGAGCAAGGTTAAATGCCATCAGGGGGTTTTCTGCGTATATTTTTCAGCACTTTATCTACTTCTGTTATGTCCAGTAAATTCACCTCCTTTCCAAACAAAATAATGTTAATCTTTTAAATCTCTCCTTGCATGGATGACTGTCCCTGGTTTTAATCTGTTTATGACATTCTCCAGTGCTTTTCTGCTTCTGATATATCTTTTTTTAGATGGATGCTGTTAGTGAGCACATTGTTTCTAGAGAGGTCACGCCATACATTTATGTAATGGTATAGTATTTTAAATCTGCATTAAAAAGAGATGGTTGTGAGTATCTTTCTTTGGTTTACTTTGTTCCCAAAGCTAACTAGTTAGGTCTTTTCTCAGCAGTATTTTCAGTCAGTTTAAATTTCATTGGTGAGTAGCAAAAATTTTTGTCCAGGGCAAATGTTCATGTCTTCTGGTGGTTGCTCTGACTTCTGTCTGGCGACTGGAGACCCTTTTGGAGCTTTGCCCTTCAAAAGGCCAAATGTGTGTTGCTCGTGCTGCTTCTTGAGGCAGTGGTCTTCTTCAGGTCTTTCACACTGCCTTTGAAAGCTGTTCAAGTTACCTAGCTAGACACTGGTTTTGCTTTTTTTTGCCTCCCCTCTCCATATCTTCCCCAAGTTTGTCCTTCTTTTGTTATTTAGGATTATGTATTAGGATATATATGTTTTTCGTGTTTTTTCTCCCATGGTTTCTCTTAAGCTTTGCCTTTTTTGGGGGTAGCAGGGTATCTACTGTTGCACTTCACTGAAACCACATTGGTAAACCCCTCATTTTTTGTGGATTTCCAAGATAAAGGCCAGTGGTTGCTTCACTGGGGTGCTTTAGGACAACTTGCATCTCTTTTATAGGCTCCGGTCTGCTCTCTGCCTGCAGTTTGTACATTTCCCTTCCACCCCCCAAAGCTCTGCCCTGTATTCCATTCCTGCAGGAAACAAAAGAAGACCTTTGGTTTCCACTTCTTCGTAAGCTATACAAAGATTTTTTTTTTACCATTCCATTCCATCAGCAGCCTCCAGGCACTGAAATGACTCCTTGAGGACAGTGAAAAAGAATTAACGGAATGTATACATTTACTTAACTAGAAAGGTGCCTTACAGTCAATATAACATTAGAATAGGTGGAGGATAAACTGGTAAATGGGTTGGCACATGTATTTAAGACACCAGTGTAGGGAGAAATGTTCTGCAACTACTACAAAGCTTATACATCATAGATGTGACGAAACTTTGAAGAAATAATGTACAAAACATGAAGAGACTGATGTTTCAAGCTGGAGTGAGAGTTAAACAACATGCTAGAGACCTGTAGAGTATGGATGGAAGCTTTAAAAAGTACCACCTTGTTGTACAATGATAGAACTTCATTCCCTCATAGATAAGCTTTCAGTTTTAGTGAAGTTCCATAGAAGCACCGGGTAAATGATACAAGTGCATTTTGCCTTTGTTACTAAAATTATCTTAGTGTACTTAAGAGATACTGGTTTTAAGAGATAATGATATGAAGATGCTAATAAAACCTGTATGTGTGTGTTATATATAAACCTATATATAATACAGATTTGTATCTATAATTCTATAAAATTCTACTTCCAACATCTGTGTCATGCTTCCAGAGGAATGGGGCTAGAATGAGAAATTTAACTCTGCATAAACATAGCTGTAGGTCTTTGAACACAGGAATGCAGATACACACTCTTCATTTAAAGCAGGGTTAATTAATTCTTATTTTTTTATATAGGTATATCTGAACCTTCTTTTATTGCTAAAAGTGAAGATCGCTTGTTTAAACATTTATTTGAAGACTATCAAAGATGGGTTCGTCCAGTGGAACGCTTGAACGACACAATAAAAATCAAGTTTGGCCTTGCAATCTCCCAGCTAGTAGATGTGGTATGTCTAGTATATTATTTGGGAGTTTTGATTGCTTGTTTGTTCTCCCCATTCTTAAAATCCTGCAAGATAATGTCATATGAAGTAACTGTGCATATTTTAGCTTAAACACAATAGATGAAACCTCTAGAATTATTATCAGCATAATAAAAAATGCGTTGTAGATGGGGCACAAAGAAGCGACGGCAGAGGTTGGGAAGGCAAACGGCTCTTAGGTTTAGTGGTTTGGTTTTTTTGGATGGGGAGAATGTCAGTGAAATTCTTAAGCCCAGGGATTTAGTTGTGTTTTAATTTATTTATTCAGTGGGAAAACTTCATAATTTTAACCTTTTATCAGTCTAATGTCTGTAAAATTCAGGAACACTTGCAAACACTGCTTGTTTTTTTTCCCCCTTTAAGCAGCAAAAACCCCTTAATCCCTCAAATGTACCACTTCCATAATAAGGAATACTATCTCTTGGATGTAGATATTGATACACATGTGATATATATCACATGTAGCCTGTGATGGAGAAGAGATCAACCAGATTATTTTTCCACTTCAGAATATTTTGTACAAACTGAATTCAGTACTTATAACTGTAAGAGGAGTTTTTCTTCCACGTGGTGGCTGTTCCTTTATGTTTCCATAGAAAACCAGTAAGACTGCATAAAATACACTCCAAGAAAAAAAATGGAAGGAAGGAAAGAGACATAGAAGGGGAAATATCTCACTGTTAACAGCTGAATAATCAAATGTCATAATTCTAGTGACTGGAATGCTTTTAGAAGTGTGGTTTGCATTTGAAGTTACAGACCTCTGAACTAGCACTAGTTACTATGAATGTACTGTGCAAATTTTTGACATCAAATATACTTTATTTTTATAGGATGAGAAAAATCAATTGATGACAACAAATGTCTGGTTGAAGCAGGTATGTGTCAAATAGCGATGGAAAATTGTGAAGCTTCGCAAGTGTAGGTCAAAAGTTGGAGGAAACTTTTCTAATTCATTGTATATTTGAAAAGCCTTATCTGTAGCATGAATTTTTATTTTACATAGTTACTTTAAAAACAATCCCTAGAAATGCTTTAAAGGATTATTTGTTAGAAAAACTCTTAAAAACCCAACCAAACAAAAAAGATACATATAGAAAAAATTACAATGTGAAGAAATCTGATAACGGCATCGCATGGGTATTTAATATTCCAAGGTGTGTATATCCAACCATGAAAGTTACTGCTTCAGTACATAAGTTTTCTTTCTTTATTAAAAAAGGATGGGTTTGTGTAGTCTTTTGTATAACAGTTTTTTAATATCTCTCTCGTATGCGGTGTTTGAGATGATCAGATAAACATCACTGAAGAATTTCACTTTCAAAGTTTTATATGTTTGCTATATAGAACTACCTTTTCCTCTTAAGTGTGTGGGCAGGAAAAGGCCTCAGGTTTTATACTAGTCAGAATCCAGTGATAAACTAAGCGGCCACTTTAACCTGGGAAATGCTGCCCACACATCATTCTTGATTTAACTTAGAAGAATGTCTGCACACCCTGATTATACTTACTGGCTTCCTGAATTACTTTTGTTGGGCTATTTCTTTGGTTTTTTCCTCCCTGTTGCTTCCCATTCCCTTCTTTACAAGTAAGCGTAATTTTAGGGCAAGTTTTTCTTTTCCGGAAAGCTTTGAGACTGCTCAGCAAGTATGAGATGGCAACATGTCAACGAAAGCGCATTGTGCCCTCTTAAGAGTTTCTGCAGAACTTATTGCAGTTGAATCAGTCCAAATAAGAGGAGAACTGACCTAAATATGTATTTAAAATTCTATGCGATGGTAAATTCTTAGCAATGTGAATTTTTCCTCTTGAGCTTTTAGTTCAAATATAAAATTCCCAAAGTACCACTATGCTTTTAGTGGGGCTATTTTCAGTGTTGTTGGTAGAAATAGGAACAACTGTCATGTGAGAGTTGCAGCATGATTTTTTTTGTGATGAAAATGTTTGTTACTTCCGATCAGCTTCCAAAGTCACTGCTATTCATTCAGAATTTATGTCTATAAATATTGTATAGACAACATTTAATTGTCTATGCATTATAATAGCTCTTATTTATGTATACATGCTTTAAATAAAGATTTTAATTTCCTCAGTTTGGTACAGAAATACTGTCAAGTGGCTCTTGCAACAGAAGACAAATAGTGGATGAAGTAAAAAGCTGTCTGTTCAGCAAATTCACTGTGCTATGCAAATTTTAGAAGCCTGTTTGATCTGGTTTTAATTGCATTTGTATGTATCTTCATCCAGTCCTGCCCTGCTTAAACCAACTTTCCCAAAATAATAATTGTTATGTCTCTTATACCCACAGGAATGGATAGATGTAAGATTAAGGTGGAATCCTGAAGACTATGCTGGAATAACGTCTATTCGTGTCCCATCAGATTCTATTTGGATTCCAGATATTGTGTTGTATGACAAGTAGGATTTTTATCTTTTCATATAAAATACATTTTCTTCTAACTTTACTGTCCAAGCTGCTTCTAGGAGGTTCATTGGGTAGATAAGGGTAGAGCTAAGTATTCAGTAGAGCTGTGGAAGAATTTGCCTCTGCAAATGTATTTGATTGTCATGTTAAATGTTAAATGTTTTGCTTTGCTTCTGTATGGAATATCTAGTCTCTCTGAAAAGTTTATTTCTATTTCCTCATGCAAACTCTTTTTTTAATTGAAAAGCCATGTCTTGCACAGTGCTGGGTACAAACTAATAGTGTAGAGTGGTGGGAGGGAAGCAACTAATTCCTGCTGTTGTAAGTCATATTTAGGATGGATTTAGAATGAAGTACACTCAGCTGTAATGGTTTGGGTTTATTTTTTTTTCTTTGAGACTTAACAGATTTTTAGAATCTTTGTGCTTTTATATTTCGTGATTGGTGAGGCAGGAGGAAACGCTGTTGCAGAGATTGTGTTGCTGTAAATTCAAGTTGGAGGTGGCACACGTGTTATTTTGCCTGTTCTGGGAACTTTTTGTTCAATAATTATCATTTGGCCAAATTGAGAAGTCTTTGTGCTGTATTCCCAGTAGAGACCAGAGTTTGGTCATGCTATTAGAGATCAGGATTTTTACAATCCTTTCATAAGTCATTGGGACCCCAGAAAGTTGCACAGATCTTTTCATGACTTGAAAACATTTTTCACCCTCCTGAAGTTGGTTGTTTGTAAACTATTTACACATACAGAATGCTGGCTATGGAGAGGGAGAAGGGAGAAACAGCTGAGATGACAATAACAAAACATATTTTCTTATTTAAAACCACCCCCCCCACACACCCTCCCCACACTAATTTCATGCATCTATCTCTCTTCTTTCAGTGCAGATGGACGTTTTGAGGGAACATCTACAAAAACAGTGGTGAAATATGATGGCACCATTGCTTGGACTCCACCAGCAAACTACAAAAGTTCTTGTACTATCGATGTAACCTTCTTCCCCTTCGACCTCCAGAACTGCTCTATGAAGTTTGGCTCCTGGACTTACGATGGTTCACAAGTTGACCTAATTCTTGAAGATTATGACGTTGACAAAAGAGACTTTTTTGATAACGGAGAATGGGAAATAGTGACTGCAACAGGGAGCAAAGGAAATAGGACTGATGGATGCTGCTGGTATCCTTTTGTTACATATTCGTTCATAATTAGACGTTTGCCACTTTTTTACACATTGTTTCTCATTATTCCTTGTATTGGCCTTTCATTTCTGACTGTCCTTGTCTTCTATCTTCCTTCAAATGAAGGTGAAAAAATTTCACTTTGCACTTCAGTACTGGTATCTTTAACTGTGTTTCTTCTTGTTATTGAAGAGATTATTCCGTCATCTTCTAAAGTTATTCCACTTATAGGAGAATACTTGGTGTTTACGATGATATTTGTGACGTTGTCCATTGTGATAACTGTATTTGCTATCAATATCCATCATCGTTCTTCATCTACACACAACGCTATGGCACCTTGGGTTCGCAAGATATTTCTTCACAGACTTCCCAAGCTGCTTTGCATGAGAAGTCATGTGGATAGATACTTTCCTCAGAAGGAGGAAACAGGAAATATGAATGGATCAGAACCATCTAGGAACACCTTGGAAGCAGCTCTAGATTCTATCCGCTATATTAGAAGACATGTTATGAAGGAGAATGAAGTTCGTGAGGTGGGTGTTTTAGTCACATTACTCCATTTTTTTTTTAAACTGGAAATTAGAAAAGCAAGTAATGGTTTACTATGAAGTTGCATATTAAATGTGTGCTACGGGATTCCCAGTGTTTGTATTTCGCTAGAAGTTGTGTAATTATTTCCACACAGTGCAAGTGTGGAAGTACAAAAAGTAGAAGTATGGTATAATCCTGAGAATTCTTATAGGTACTGGGCTGATACAATACAGTCCTTGGGTTCTTTAGGGTTTTTTGCTTTCTTGTGCGGTTCTTGTTGTTAGTTGCACATTGTCAGAGATACCTGTCTGTTACAAGAGCAGGTACCGTAACTGTTACCTGCGGTGCTGCGGGATATTTTTGTGATGAGAGAAGTAGGTATTTTCCATTGTACTGTTGTACCTGAAGGCTATCTGAAAATGTATTTGCTTTAAAAGATTGCAAAGCATTATTTGGCAGCTTTCAATTCCAGATAAAACCAATTTTTAATGCCCTAGCTTGTATCAGTTTAAATACAAGCTGCAACTGTACATTGATCATTTTGTGCTGAGATCACACATGGACTAGATGAATTCTTGAGTGTTCTCTTCTAGCCTTATTATTTGTCCCTACATTAAATCAAAAGGTGTCAAAGGCTTTTTTTCAGTCTGTACATTTGCACTCTGACCTCTCCTTAATGGATGTTTACACCATTTGGGTAAGAGCATTATAAATCTGTTTTCGTACTGAGTTTTTTAAGCTAGCAGTGTTGGTACCTCAGAGACAAACGGTATTTTCAGGCTTGTGTAGAAATAGAGACATTTGTTGTGTGGTCTCATGATAATGCTATCTGTTTCTGAAGATTCTTTCGATCTATATGGAAGTGACAGTCTTCAAAATTGCTGGCTGCCAGGAACATGTTCTTACATGCTAGCCTAATAATAAGCTAACTCCTCTAATGTACCCTATCAGGACTCAATTCTGACATTATCACAAGGTATTCAGCCTAGATTTTGAATAAATCTATCTACCGTACTGCTGAAACAGCATTTAATACCCCTGCATTGCATAAACAACGCAAATAGAATAGTTTGATATTAAATATATAATTTAATGTAAAGTAAGAGTGGGTTTCCTTTTTCTTACTGAACTCACACTATTTGTGAGTGACAAAGAGGTGGTAAGTGGTTTTGTTTTTCAGGTGTAATGTTGTGACTCTAAACCTCAAAAATTAATATACAGCTAACTGGGGATACACTTGTAATTTATTATTTGGGCTCCAGAGAATGCAGGACTTAATTGAAAAAGTTGTTAATAAAACCTGCATGTCTCGTGCTGTTGTAGCCTTGCTTCTTGGGAAGCAGAAGTCTTAGGAAATGCGGATAGCTCCAGTTCAAGTCAAATACAATTGTTTGGCAGGGTTGAAATTTGCTTGCACAATTGTATCTGCTGTACTTGCAAAACTGTGTATGGGTATGAATAATACAATTGAGAGTACAGTGAGTACAGAAAGTCTGGGAGGTGTGCTTTGTGTGTGTGTGTGTGTTTTGTTTGGTTGGTTATGTATTTTTATACAACTTTTGCTTCTAGCTCCTGCCTGGCAATTCTGCTTTATGATGAGGCTGTGGCATGAATCCTAAATCCTGCAGTATGCTAGAAAATTGCATACTGGTTTCATCTCTCTGTAACTGAGAATGTTCAGTGCTTGTCAGGGTCAGTTTCTGCATTAAAATCTAGTGGTGGTCTGTATAGCTTACCCATTTTCATAGATGGAAGTTTGGTCCTGTTCTAGCCCATAGAGTTGTTATAAAAAGTTATTAATATGTGTTACCGATGAACATGATTGGAAAAATGTGATTAAGAATTGCAGGGTTTGGTACTGTATCTTTTACTTGCACATACTGACCCAACTCTCATATTCTTTGTTTTTTAGGTTGTTGAAGACTGGAAATTTATTGCTCAGGTGCTTGATCAAATGTTCTTATGGACTTTTCTTTTGGTTTCAATAGTTGGATCACTTGTGTTATTTATTCCTGTTATTCATAAATGGGCAAGTATAATAGTACCTACAAATATAGGCAGTACAAATGCATAAAATAGTTTTGGATCTGGGTCCTGCTAATATGGCTCAGGAGTTTTGCAGTAGCTCTATTTCCATGTATGTTCTTTGTAGGCATGTTTCTGATAGAGTAACAAGAAATCGAAACCCAGAAAATTATGTTTAATTTAAAGCATGGCATCCCTAGGACACATAGAAGTCAATTTGCTTATTGCCAGTCTAAGTTACCTTTAAATCAGGTCAGAATTAGAAGGATCTTCTCAAGCCCTTGCATGTATGATATGTCTGAAAACCATACACAGGCACTTGCTGCAAGGTCGAAGAATTTAGAATGTTTTTGTGATGATTGCTAGAGTCCAATTGTTAAATTATTGTAGGAATTGTTATATTGAATATTAAATACTTGCAGATATTAACACAGTAGAGTTGCTTATTTCAATTTCCTATAGTACACAAAAGAGAACTTTTAGTGGCTCTCTTGAATGTGTTGTAAAAGTATAAGGTTTATACGAAGTAAATTCAAAATAATAATAATACCAATAAAAATTCCTGTATATCCAACATATCAGTAAAAGTAGCAATCTGGCTGTGTTTTGCCTGTATTAATTCAATGGAATTTGCAGCTAAATTTCAATCCTTTTAGTTTTATTATACTAACACAAACATTTAATAGAGTAAACTTTATTAAAATGCCTGCAGGATACAGGTATATCGATATCTCTGTGTCAGTTATGGAGAAGAAGACAGACACAAATGAGTTCCCAAGTTGCACAGGTATTCTAATGGACCAGAACATTCAGATATATTTATTCTTGATGAAGGATTTGATACAGTCTGTTAGTTGAAAACAGGTTAATCATTTCCTGCCTTTGTGTGTTTCTCAGAATTAAGTTTTTAAGCACAATTAGAAGGAATATGGGGAATGCCTTTCTGAAGGAAATGGGTTGAAAACTACTATGCTGTGTAACCAAATTGAAATGATTGATATTTCACACAGTTGTTAAACTGGACTTAGAAATTTACCTTTTAATCGGTTCTCTCCATTATAGAACCACATGTAACTCTAAACAATGAGGACTTGTGTCTTCCCATGCTTTTTTTCTGAAAGTGCTGAAAACTAACTTGTAATTTTTAATCCATTAAGATACATTCTTTAAATACTGATTTTAAATGTAGTATGATGCCACCTTTCTTAAAAGCTTTATTTCTGGAAGAGACACTAAAATTGATGGGGGTTCTCCACCACCAAAGTTTTGTCAGTGCACTTCGTAGTGTTGCATCCTGCAGGGCTAGTGCAGTAATGCCAGGGTGGAGCAAGTCTTGGGAGGTCTTTATTTTTGTTTACTTAGATTTCTACATTAACATGCTTAGATTAGAAATGTAATGTAAATTGTGGTATCTTGGATAATGTAAGTTATGAATATGGAAAATGCATAAGTATTTCCCCCCATCTCTTTAAGAATAGTGCCATTTGGCACTGTACTGATCATAATGCTGATTGCTTATGTCATAACTTATAGATTATTGAATATTTATTTCAAATGTTTTTTTGTGTGTAGGACATTCTTGGGTTTGTGTAGCTTTTAAAGGCTCTTAAAATATGCCAGTTTATAATTAATTCTGATGATAAAGAGTCCCTCCTTCCTCTTCAGTTATACAATTACATCTAGCATTGGAAATCCGTATTTCCTCTATTCCCATCATAATTAATTTCAAACATGATTTTGCAAAAATTATCTGATTTAATCCATTAATATAATTTTCTCAGGATTACTAAGATTAAACAATGCATCAGTGGCTTTCTCTGCATGGAAGTTGCAGAAATATGTTAGGTATCTTCTTTCTTCTTCAAATGCTAAATTACTATGTATAGTCCTCCTTGGGTTTGAATTACTGAATTTTACCTTTACCTGAACAGAAAGCAAAATAAATAAACCTGTAGGTTAGCTAGATCTGTTATTTTCTTGAACTCCCCAACTCATCTCTTTCCTTCTCTCAAATGATGTCTGTAAGCCCACTTACATCGTAAGGCGATGGGCAGTATATTGGCCGAAGGAGTCTCAGTCTTTAACTAGTAACTCACAGTTTTACAAATGCATTAATTTCTTTTAGTCACGTCTACAATCTGATCATGATAAATACAGCTAAGATAGGTGACACTAGAATTCTTAGGGTCTTCAGCTTATCAGGTGTGCCTGAAACAAAATACTTTTAATAGACTCAGAAGCATGGACCCTTCCTTATGTAAGTTGTTTCTGAATGTGTTGAACGGTACCTAATGCTGTCTTATACAGGCTTTTGTTACTTGGTCAAAATAAATGAAAAAAGAAAAAATGCACGATTCTTAACTGTTTGGTTCTCTTTATTTTCATCTGTGTTACACCACTTGATACACTGTATTTCCAAAAAGTTTCCAGTTTGGTACAGAGACAACAGTTCATATACATACAAAACATTTTCTCGTTGCAGTATTTGGTTGCATTCTTTATTCATGCTCTTAAATTATCTGCAGTTACTGATTTTAAAACCAAAGTATGCCTAAGAAGCAATTTTTGCATGCTTAACAGGACTATTGCACAGCTACCTGCTTCCCCTTGTCATAGAACACTTCGCTATAGAAGGATGCTTCTGCATCCAAACTATCCTATCAAAATATTTTGATCCTTTGCATAGCCTGCACACTGCATCTTAGTGTGTGTCCTGTACATAGTTTTAAACATTATTAGGTTTGAATAGCTTGTTTTTTCTGGCAGCCTTCTCATACACTGAAATACACGAATGCACAGACTTTACATTCTGGCTGCTTTATTACTACCGCCTATGATTTACCTATTCATTTTCCTTTTGTAATAAACCTCCCCTTGGTCCTTTCCTCCCACTGCTTGTTTCAGTTTATACACCAGGTGGCAATGTCTGCATTCTATCAATTTGGTATGCATGTTTCCTAAAACATTTTGTCCTCATGAGGGCATTCACTGAATTCAGTCTGAACTTAATTCCAGAAGATCCTGTCATACTCTGGAGACACTTGGCACCAGACTTATGGAAACAAATCCAGTAGCCTTCAACCTGTCTTGACTTTCAAATATTCAAGTAATTTTCAGTTTCTTTGTCAATCCTCTTCTTAAACCATTCCTATGGTGTTTGGTGTGCTGCCTACATCTTTTCCAGTTATTGCAAGAAGCAGCTGTCAAGCATAGCTTGTATTACTTTGAGATTAGCTGTTTTAAAGGTTTAAAATATTTTCTTTTTTTGTGTTTTCATGTTTTTAACAAAGCCTTCTTGGTCAAGCAAAGTTGAGGCCAAGAGAGATCCTTATTCTGCAACACAGAAGAGACATCGGGTGCTGTGGTGGGGGGGGGGAGTTGCTCAGCGAACGTTTTATTTGATGTCACAATGCTCTATTTAATCTTTACATTTCATCTCCAGCCATCAAAGGTTGTAAAAACAATCCTGCTGTTCCTAGAATACATACCAGGATGAAAACCCACAGAAAAATACGATCAATTACCATGGCAACGTATTTCCAGTCATCCTGAATCTGAAAAATAAATGGAATAACAAGTAGGCATGTTTATTAGATCAGTAACTTGCATCAGCAGTTGGTACCACCTTAGGAAGGAAACACATGTTTTTTTTCCCTTGTAGATGTCTTTCATATATGCACAACTTGCATATGTCTGTTTTCATGGACAAATTAGCTAATCTAGAAGAAGCTTTATTTGGATGTGCTATTTGTGGCAAAGCCAAAAGCCACTTCTTCATGTACAGAAAGTTATTTGCTAAGACACTGGACTTCATAAGATATGACTTCTCACTGTATGCCAAAAATGAAAGTGAAAACTTTACATTCTTAGGTGATCAGGTTTGCCCAGAAAACTACTGAAGTAAAGAGGCTGCTTCTACTGGTCTTTGATGATAAAAAGACAAAGATTAATGGGTATATAATTAGTTGTAGTGCTGAAATTTAATTGTTATCATGTGTGATGTAAAATCCATCTCTTTATCTCCCATGCAGGGAGGGAACCAAGTTTCCAAAACCCAGATCTCTCTTTTTTTTTTTTTTTTTTTTTTTTTTGAGTGGGCATGGTAACAGGAGGCACACTAGAATATAACAAATGTTGTATATTAACAGTAACTACGTTACGTGATCATTGGAGTTACTCTTGAGATTACAATTTCAACTTTTGCTTCATTTTTCTTCAGGAAGGCTTATATATGAATAATACATTTATTGCTTTTGAAATGTTGTGCTTTTTAGCTTAGAACTTGTTTGTTAAGGCACACTTTAAAAAAGCTCAACTAAACCGGCCCCATATTTTCTATACCCACTTACTCTAAAGTTCTGATTTTGGCATAAACAAAGCAACTTTATTCTAACTTTAAATGCCGTAGCACATAAGATTGAAACTGAGTGATGACTGTGGTGGTGTGGCTACTGCTCTTAATATGTTTGAGGAGCACGTAGAAAGAAAACTTTGTTTTCATTGCCTTAAGACGCAGTTTTAAGAGAGATCATGGTTCCTGTCTTGCAGCAGTTGTCTCATTTAGCTACAGTGCCTTTCTTTGCTGCAGCAGCACAATAACTGTGAAGGACGTTTATTCTTAAGTCCTTTGTTATTGCTGGTAAGCTCTGGAAGAGAGCATGTAACTTTCTAAAGACCATAGTCAACAAATTCCACTGTTAAGATTATAACTTGGAAAATCCTCACCCCAAGTCTCATAGGATAGATACTCACGTGTGGTGGTTACCTTGACGTGACTCGCTTAGTGTGTGTGTTGTCAATAAAGAGAATGTTGTGCAACAGAGCTGCTCCCCAAAGTGATCTACATTCAAACCTGCATGTTTGTCATACAGCTTGGGTAGGTGTATAAAATAATGGTTTGTGGTGTCCTTTCTTTTTCCCTGGGGGTGCATGTATTGTGGGGGGTTTGAGATCTCTTTCTTACAAAACACACTAATGGCAAATGGTGTCTGCAGTTTGAGTAACAGTAAAATATGTTCTTACCTCTTTTGCTTCATTCTGCATTTTCATATTTTCTGCAATATATTTAACACTTTCAATAGCATCTCTCATTTCTGGTGACAGAACTGAAAACGAAAACAGAGGATCTACAGACTCGGAGCTTGAACTTCTTGTGAGATTGCCACTGAAATCAGAGAACTTCATTCGCTGGTACTGACAACAGCTGCATGCCATGTCTTGACATACAAAGCCATCTTTGCAGCATTTGGTTTCGGAACTGTTGAAGCAATTTAAGTTTGAAAACTCAGAAGTGAAAAATGGTTTTGGCTTCTGATTATTATCATCATCACTGGCAGGCCTTGTCATAAACATGATCCTGGGAAGTAAGTTCAAGAAAATGGTTCTCACCCACACCGGCATTGTGTGTGTCTTGGGTGTCCTGTAGTGCACGTTAAGTACAAAGACTGTAATGACGATAGACAGAGTTACAAATATCATGGTGAAAAGGAGGTATTCCCCAATAAGTGGAATTACCAGGGAAGTAGAAGGTATGGTTTCTGTGATAACAAGAAGGAACACTGTTAAAGATAGAAGGACTGATATGCAGAGTGTCACCTTCTCACCGCAGTCTGAAGGCAAGTAGAAAACTAACACAGTCAGAAAAGAAATCAGCAGACATGGAATAATCATATTGATAGTGTAGAATAAAGGTAAACGCCTAATGTAAAGAGAATATGTGATGTCTGGATATATCTCTTCACAGCAGTTGTATTTGATGTCATGTTTATAGCCAGGAGCTTTAATAATAGCCCATTCTCCACTCTCCCAGTAATCTTTCAGGTTCATTGTAGAGCCAATCAAAACTAAGTCAATTTTGGCTTTATCATAAGACCAGGAGCCAAACTTCATGGTGCAGTTCTGATAGTCAAATGGGAAGTAGGTTACATCTATTTTACATGAGCTTTTAAATATAGCTGGAGGGATCCAGGTCACATCACCTGTGTATTTTAATAGGGCCTTTGTCTTGTCATCAACCTGGAAATCCCCAACTGCACTGTGAAGCAAATAAAAACAACAATTAGAATGCGACTACTCTAGTAGTTTCATACATTCAGATCATATGCACTAACTCTTTAATCTGTTCTGGGAAAGTCAGTAAGTACACTTTGACATGGAACTGGATTCCATGTGCAGGCCTGAGTCAGTGGCCATCACCAATTTGCATAGTTAAATAGCTGTATAAATAACATGGCTCAGTGCAATCAATATGCAAAACTGCAAATAGAAGATTGTAAATGACAGACCAATAGATAATCCTTGTAGGTCCCTTCCAACTCAACTGTTCTATTCTATTCTAGAGCAAGCACATCAGAGCAAAGGGCTGATCAGAGGATAGCTGGAGTACTGCTGTTTCCACCTCTTCTGTGAACAGTGCAGGTAGTAATTATGAAAAGAGGGATTAGGGTTGGGGTGCATCTTTGCATAACGAGTGTATTTGGTGAGGGTTTTTTTTAAGTGCCATATTGCTATCCTGACCATGTGGATCTTAGATCTGTGTGACAATTTCAGTCATTTATATGAGAAAGTAAAACTAAAAAGGTAATTAAAGTTTTAAGGCCATAGTTAGAAAAGGACTGTCATCCCTGTTGTTCCACAGACCTCAGTTTTGGATGTGTGTGGCTAAATCCATTGCCTGAGTACTGCTTCCCTACTGTCATGGTGCTTAAACCATGACACTTACCTAGCAGAGGGATCCATTTAGTTATGATCTGGCTTCTCGAGGTTTCAGAAACTGACATCCAAAGTAAACTTCACCTGTGTCCTTTGTACGCCAAAGCTATTATTGCAAAGGTGTCAAATTGTGAGTTTGAAAGGTAGAATTTGCAGGGGTTTTCAGTTGAGGTCTGACCCCCAAACAAGAACTGTCCGGTCTAAGGGAATTTCTTGTCAGCTACTCTGAGGACAGCAATAAAATAATAATAAAAGTGGGTGCTTGTGAAGGGGAAAAGGAGAGGTTGCTCTGGCCTGCAGCATGCAGCTCCAGGTGAGGAGCTGGCTCCTGCCGAGAGGTGCTGATGCGGATGGCACAGAGGTGAGCACAGCAATAGGGTGATGGGGGCACAGGTGCAAACCAGGCTTTTTAGTTCATGCAGTGAACCTGCTGCTAATTTTAAAGTCTTAACATCACCCCTCATCTTCCCAAATTATGAAGATAAACATGCAAGAGTCTTACTTGTTATATAATACAATATCTGGCTTCCAGATCTGGCCAGATGGTACTCGGATGAATTCAGCGCCTCCATAGTCCGCTGGATTCCACCGAAGCTTGTAGTCATTCCAGATCTAATTATAGAAGAAATGAGTCTGTGTTA